AAAGTCTTGGGCCATTTTCGGGAAGTGTTAGATGCCAGAAACAGAGCTCTCTCCACATTTACTTTGCGAGACAGGACTAGAGTGACTCTCAAGGTGGTCCTAGTGGCATTAAGAAACAGAGAAGAGAAGCAATCCCAGAGAAGCAATTGGTACCTGAGGTGTTGCTGGAAGGGGATTCCCCTTCCAAACTGTAAACAATCCAATCTCTCTCCACTTCCAGTCTCCCATACACTAAGAAGAATCTCCAATAAAGGTAAGTGTTATGCTGTTAATGTTTCATTCATCTTTTCCCATTGTATTGTTTATATACTATATGTATATTTCATGTAAAAATTTTTTTTGTTTTAATACTTCTGGGTGTCAGGAACGGATTAATTGTATTTACATTATTTCTTATAGGGAAAATTGATTCGCAAACCGTAAATTTCGTATATAGTAACAGCTCCAGGAACGGATTAATTACGAAAAACGAGGGACCACTGTACTTGAAAAGTTATTTTTAAAGCAAATCTGACTTGCTATATATCTTACCCTAACTACCTCCTCCTACCTTAACGTGAAGTATGAGTTGTAAATGTTACACCTGGGAGGAGGCTGGAGGCAGTAGAGATATCGTGCCTAAGGGCAGTGTGTGGTGTGAATATTATGCAGAGAATTCATAGTTTGGAGATTAGCAGGTGTGGAGTTACTAAAAGTATTATCCAGAGGGCTGAGGAGGGGTTGTTGAAGTGGTTTGGTCATTCAGAGAGGATGGAACAAAATACATGTACTATGATTTGAAGAACATATAAATCTGTAGTGGAGGGTAAGCAGGATAGGGGTCATCCTAGGTAAGGATGGTGGGAGGAGGTAAAGGAGATTTTGTGTGCAAAGGGGCTTGGACATATAGCAGGCATGTGTGAGCGTGCTAGGAGTGCAGGCAAGTGGTTATTGAACTTGACAAGCTGTTGGAATGTGAGCAAGGTAACATTTTGTGAAGGGATTGAGGGAAACTGATTAGCAGGACTTGAGACCTGGAGGTGGGAAGTAAAATGCCTGCACTCTGAAGGAGGGGTTTGGGATATTTGCTATATAGAGGGATATCTGAACATCTGTGTGCCTCTGGCAAGACAGTGATGGTGTGAATGATGGTGAAAGTGTTTCTTTTTCAGGTCACCCTGCCTCGGAAGGAGATGGTCAGTGTGTTGAAAAAAGAAAGATTTCGGCTTGCTTGACCAACTTGGCTATTAAAAAAAATTTCTCATAAAAAATTATAAAAGAATATATTTTTTTCATAGGTAGTAGGTTGGTAGACAGCAACCACCCAGGAAGTACTACCGTCCTGCCAGATGACTGTGAAACAGAAACCTGTAACTGTTTTACATGATGGTAGGATTGCTGGTTTTCTTTTTCTGTCTCATAAACACGCTAAGATAACAGGGATATCGTGCTACTCCTACTTACACTTTGGTCACACTTCACAGACACGCACATGCATATATATATATACATGCATCTAGGTTTTTCTCCTTTTTCTAAATAGCTCTTGTTCTTTTTTATTTCTTCTATTGTCCATGGGGAAGTGGAAAAGAATCTTTCCTCCGTAAGCCATGCGTGTCGTATGAGGCGACTAAAATGCCGGGAGCAATGGGCTAGTAACCCCTTCTCCTGTATACATTTACTAAAAAAGAGAAGAAGAAAAACTTTATAAAACTGGGTTGCTTAAATATGCGTGGATGTAGTGCGGATGTCAAGAAACAGATGATTGCTGATGTTATGAATGAAAAGAAGTTGGATGTCCTGGCCCTAAGCGAAACAAAGCTGAAGGGGTAGGAGAGTTTCAGTGGGGGAAATAAATGGGATTAAATCTGGAGTATCTGAGAGAGTTAGAGCAAAGGAAGGGGTAGCAGTAATGTTAAATGATCAGTTATGGAAGGAGAAAAGAGAATATGAATGTGTAAATTCAAGAATTATGTGGATTAAAGTAAAGGTTGGATGCGAGAAGTGGGTCATAAATAAGCGTGTATGCACCTGGAGAAGAGAGGAATGCAGAGGAGAGAGAGAGATTTTGGGAGATGTTAAGTGAATGTATAGGAGCCTTTGAACCAAATGAGAGAGTAATTGTGGTAGGGGACCTGAATGCTAAAGTAGGAGAAACTTTTAGAGAGGGTGTGGTAGGTAAGTTTGGGTGCCAGGTGTAAATGATAATGGGAGCCCTTTGATGAACTTTGTATAGAAAGGGTTTAGTTATAGGTAATACATATTTTAAGAAAAAGAGGATAAATAAGTATAACACGATATGATGTAGGGCGAAATGACAGTAGTTGTTGATTATGTATTGGTAGATAAAAGACTGTTGAGTAGACTTCAGGATGTACATGTTTATAGAGGGGCCACAGATTATATCAGATCACTTTCTAGTTGTAGCTACACTGAGAGTAAAGGTAGATGGGATACAAGGAGAATAGAAGCATCAGGGAAGAGAGAGGTGAAGGTTATAAACTAAAAGAGGAGGCAGTTAGGGTAAGATATAAACAGCTATTGGAGGATAGATGGGCTAATGAGAGCATAGCAATGGGGTCGAAGAGGTATGGCTAGGTTTAAAAATGTAGTGTTAGAGTGTTCAGCAGAAGTTTGTGGTTACAGGAAAGTGGGTGCAGGAGGGAAGAGGAGCGATTGGTGGAATGATGATGTAAAGAGAGTAGTAAGGAGAAAAAGTTAGCATATGAGAAGTTTTTACAAAGTAGAAGTGATGCAAGGAGGGAAGAGTATATGGAGAAAAAGAGAGAAGTTAAGAGAGTGGTGAAGCAATGTAAAAAGAGAGCAAATGAGAGAGTGGGTGAGATGTTATCAACAAATTTTGTTGAAAATAAAAAAAGTTTTGAGTGAGATTAACAAGTTAAGAAAGCCTAGAGAACAAATGGATTTGTCAGTTAAAAATAGGAGAGGAGAGTTATTAAATGGAGAGTTAGAGGTATTGGGAAGATGGAGGGAATATTTTGAGGAATTGTTAAATGTTGATGAAGATAGGGAAGCTGTGATTTCGTGTATAGGGCAAGGAGGAATAACATCTTGTAGAAGTGAGGAAGAGCCAGTTGTGAGTGTGGGGGAAGTTCGTGAGGCAGTAGGTAAAATGAAAGGGGGTAAGGCAGCCGGGATTGATGGGATAAAGATAGAAATGTTAAAAGCAGGTGGGGATATAGTTTTGGAGGGGTTGGTGCAATTATTTAATAAATGTATGGAAGAGGGTAAGGTACCTAGGGATTGGCAGAGAGCATGCATAGTTCCTTTGTATAAAGGCAAGGGGATAAAAGAGAGTGCAAAAATTATAGGGGGATAAGTCTGTTGAGTGTACCTGGTAAGGTGTATGGTAGAGTTATAATTGAAAGAATTAAGAGTAAGACAGAGAATAGGATAGCAGATGAACAAGGAGGCTTTAGGAAAGGTGGGGGGTGTGTGGACCAGGTGTTTACAGTGAAACATATAAGTGAACAGTATTTAGATAAGGCTAAAGAGGTCTTTGTGGCATTTATGGATTTGGAAAAGGCGTATGACAGGGTGGATAGGGGGGCAATGTGGCAGATGTTGCAAGTGTATGGTGTAGGAGGTGGGTTACTGAAAGCAGTGAAGAGTTTTTACGAGGATAGTGAGGCTCAGTTAGAGTATGTAGGAAAGAGGGAAATTTTTTCCCAGTAAAAGTAGGCCTTAGACAAGGATGTGTGATGTCACCGTGGTTGTTTAATATATTTATAGATGGGTTGTAAGAGAAGTAAATGCGAGGGTCTTGGCAAGAGGCGTGGAGTTAAAAGATAAAGAATCACACACAAAGTGGAGTTGTCACAGCGCTCTTTGCTGATGACACTGTGCTCTTGGGAGATTCTGAAGGAAGTTGCAGAGATTGGTGGATGAATTTGGTAGGGTGTGCAAAAGAAGAAAATTAAAGGTGAATACAGGAAAGAGTAAGGTTATGAGGATAACTAAAAGATTAGGTGATGAAAGATTGAATATCAGATTGGAGGGAGAGAGTATGGAGGAGGTGAACGTATTCAGATATTTGGGAGTGGACCGTGTCAGCGGATGGGTCTATGAAAGATGAGGTGAATCATAGAATTGATGAGAGAAAAAGTGAGTGGTGCACTTAGGAGTCTGTGGAGACAAGAACTTTGTCCTTGGAGGCAAAGAGGGGAATGATGAGAGTATAGTTTTACCAACGCTCTTATATGGGTGTGAAGCGTGGGTGATGAATGTTGCAGCGAGGAGAGGCTGGAGGCAGTGGAGATGTCATGTCTGAGGGCAATGTGTGGTGTGAATATAATGCAGAGAATTCGTAGTTTGGAATTAGGAGGAGGTGCGGGATTACCAAAACTGTTTTTCCAGAGGCTGAGGAAGGGTTGTTGAGGTGGTTCGGACATGTAGAGAGAATGGAGCGAAACAGAATGACTTCAAGAGTGTATCAGTCTGTAGTGGAAGGAAGGCGGGTAGGGGTCGGCCTGGGAAAGGGGTGGAGGGAGGGGGTAAAGGAGGTTTTGTGTGCGAGGGGCTTGGACTTCCAGCAGGCATGCGTGAGCGTGTTTGATAGGAGTGAAGGGAGACAAATGGTTTTTAATACTTAAACGTGCTTTTGGGAGTGTGAGCAAAGTAACATTTATGAAGGGATTCAGGGAAACCGGCAGGCCGGACTTGAGTCCTGGAGATGGGAAGTACAGTGCCTGCACTCTGAAGGAGGGGTGTTAATGTTGCAGTTTACAAACTGTAGTGTAAAGCACCCTTCTGGCAAGACAGTGATGGGGTGAATGATGGTGAAAGTTTTTCTTTTTCGGGCCACCCTGCCTTGGTGGGAATCGGCCAGTGTGATAATAAAAAATAAAAAAATATTTTTTTTTAATTTTTATTCCTAGTGAACCTGTTCTAAGAACATCTGAGCACTGGCACAGAATCTTAAAAAAAGAAACTTTATCAAATACAGAATTTAATAATGCATAATTCAGACACAGTAAAGTGTATATTTTCTTTTTACATACCTGCCAAATATGGAGCCAATTTCTGAAGGGAGGAGGTGTAAGAGGTGAGCAGATGAACCAAGTATCGGATGATACAAGTAGAGACATCCTTCAGTTTATCTTCAAGATGAGGTAATAATGAATGAACGAGAGCAGCTGCAGACGACAGAGCAAGACGTGCAGTGTGTAAAGTACAGTTGTTGGCTAAGTACTCCACAACACCTTGAAATACTTTATGTAGTTCTGATCTTCTTTTGGCAAGAACAGCTACTAGTGGACAGTCCTGGGAGAACAGAAATAAAGCTCTATTAATACTTTCCTGTTTTTCCCTTCATATTTATGCCCAAAAAACTCAGATTAATATTTGCATTCATAACTTCTTTTCCACTAACAAGAGACCTCAGACAGGAATGTTAAGTTACCCTGATTGTTTAACTCCTTAACTGTCCAAACATAGATCTACGTTCTTATCGCTAGCGCTCCAAACGTATACACTGTATCATTGTTTTATTTTTCCTGACTTCAAATTTGGCTCAATAGGCCTCAGTGGCCTAGATATGAAAGAATGGGTCTGTGGACTCAGTGTGTACAGTATGAAAAAATCAGGGACCCCTCATGGTAGCACCAGTTAATTTCAGCTCCATCTTGGGTAAACATCATGGCAAACCCCCAGGATTCATTCACGCCTCGTTGTATTAACACTCTCTTAATCGAGGAAAGTGATACAGACCCCAAGTTTAGTGGATTTGACACCACTGTGGCTACTAATAATCGAGGAATTATTCCCTGGTTACCAGGAAGTGTCAGGTCCTCCCTAGCTCCTCCCTGGTTCCCAGGGAGTGCCAGGTCCTCCTTAGCTCCTCCCTGGTTACCAGGGAGTGCCAGGTCCTCCCTGGCTACCAGGGAGTGCCAGGTCCACCCTAGCTCCTCCTTGGTTACCAGGGAGTGCCAGGTCCACCTTAGCTTTCTCCTGGTTGTATGTATCTTTACATACAATAGCATGGAATATGCATTTCATTGACTCCAGGGATCACTGGCCCTGCAGCACAGTTTACCATAATATACTGGAGTGGAAATATTAGAGGAATAAGAAGCAGCACACTGGGGGAAAAAGAGGAAGATGCATAGTGAATATAAGTAAAAATCCGTAGTATTTATCTGCCATCCTACAGGTTTATAAAGCAAAGACCAGTAATCCCACCAGAGTGCAAAATATTTTTCCAAGTTTCTCCTCCACACACATACAACAACACAGTACTTCCAAAAGTTTCTCCTCCACACACATACAACAACACAGTACTTCCTCAAGTTTCTCCTCCAAACACATACAACAACACAGTACTTCCACAAGTTTCTCCTCCACACACATACAACAACACAGTACCTCCTCTTAAATAGCTGCTGTGTTGCACAAAACTCTCCCAAAAACTCAAAAATGTTAAAGAGGTAAAGACTTATTAGTTAGGAGAGATTACCAGGTAAGCAACAATAATAACTACTAACCTCTCCAAATATTCTGCCTAAAAATTCCAAAGTATTCTGTATCACAGCTGGGGAAAAATATGGAGGATTTGGTAGTACAATCACTTCATTCTGTACAATGGGATCATTATCATGTACAATCTTCAGCAGGGAGAGCATTATATCTCCTACATGCTGGTCTACCAGCCTGCTAAAAACTTCATTACCCAGACTCCTCTCCAGCCATTTATAGTGTTTCTTGGCAGCTTGCATCTGTTAATGCAGAAAAAATCAATTAAAATAAAGTAGATTTTACATTACCATTTTAATAAAGTTTAAAGCTCCAAACAAACTTAACCCTTTCAGGGTCCGTCCCGTAGATCTACGGCTTTACGTTCAGGGTCCAAACCGTAGATCTACGCCATGAGCTCAGCTCACTCTGATAAACTGTGAGTGGTACATTTGGGCCTAGATATGAGAGAATACATCTATGTGGTATGTGTGCACCACATAAAACAGATCCTGCAGCACACTGTGTATAATGAGAGAAAAAAATGAAATCATGATTTTTCGATTAAAACAGCAACTTTGCAGTGTTTTTTCGTATGTTTTTTATAGTTGTATTTGCAATTTCTTGGTCTCATTTGATAGAATGGAAGACATATTACAGAAATAGAGATGATTTTGATTAGTTTTAGCACTGGAAATGGCTTGAAACTTAGCTCAAAGAAGCAGAAATGTTAAATTTTTGCCGATATTCAAGAGTAAACAAACGACCTCACACGCCAGCTGGTGGGTCTAATATACATTCACAAATATGGTGATGATATTTATACAATTATTACAGTATTGCATAACAGTAAATCTTCTATTTTTTGGTGTGAATAAAAATTCATTATGTGAATAAAAAATCAAAATGGAATTTATTTGTAAAGCCTCAAAACATAACTAATGAACAGAGGAAATGTTAGTTTAGTGCCAGGAATGCCTACATTGTTCATTCTGGACCCTATTTTGAAATTGGAATATTTTGAACTTTGTGTTAAATTGGCCAAATTAACAATTTCCGATCACTTTATTTTGTAGTTGAAACAGTTGACTTGGCGATTTCTTATGCTCAATCGATAGAATAGAAGTAATACTAGTGAAATAGCTAAGAATTCGGTTGATTGGAATAATGTAATTGGCCTAAAATGGGAGTCAAAGTCGGCAAAATCGCCGATTCGTAAATATCGCTGACACATCAAAATTTGCGAGAGCATAATTTCGTCAACTTTCCACCAAATTTCGTACTTTTTGTTTTATTACCTTCACAAAAAGATTCTCTACGATTTCATAAGAATAAATAACAAATTTTTTTTTGTTAAATTCTTGGACACTGGTGCATGACTCATGATTTGGGCCTTGGACCCTGAAAGGGTTAAAATTAACAAAAAACAAATAGTCATCAGAGTAAAGCAAGAGATATCCACAGTGAACAGCAGCATTACTAAATGAACAGTACTTGCTCTAATTCTCTCTTTCTTGTTACTAAATGAACAGTACTTGCTCTAATTCTCTCTTTCTTGTTACTAAATGAACAGTACTTGCTCTAATTCTCTCTTTCTTGTTACTAAATGAACAGTACTTGCTCTAATTCTCTCTTTCTTGTTACTAAATGAACAGTACTTGCTCTAATTCTCTCTTTCTTGTTCCTAAATGAACAGTACTTGCTCTAATTCTCTTTCTCTCTCGTTACTAAATGAACAGTACTTGCTCTAATTCTCTATCTCTCATTACTAAATGAACAGTACTTGCTCTAATTCTCTCTCTCTCATTACTAAATGAATAGTACTTTCTCTAATTCTCTCTCTCTCATTACTAAATGAGCAGTACTTGCTCTAATTCTCTCTCTCTTGTTACTAAATGAACAGTACTTGTTCTAATTCTCTCTCTCTTGTTCCTAAATGAACAGTACTTGCTCTAATTTTCTCTCTCTTGTTCCTAGATGAACAGTACTTGCTCTAATTTTCTCTCTCTTGTTCCTAGATGAACAGTACTTGCTCTAATTCTCTCACTCTTGTTCCTAAATAAACAGTACTTGCTCTAATTCTCTTTCTTGTTACTAAATGAACAGTACTTGCTCTAGTTCTCTCACTCTTGTTCCTAAATAAACAGTACTTGCTCTAATTCTCTTTCTTGTTACTAAATGAACAGTACTTGCTCTAATTCTCTTTCTTGTTCCTAAATGAACAGTACTTGTTCTAATTCTCTCTCTCTTGTTCCTAAATGAACAGTACTTGCTCTAATTCTCTTTCTTGTTACTAAATGAACAGTACTTGCTCTAATTCTCTCTTTCTTGTTACTAAATGAACAGTACTTGCTCTAATTCTCTCTCTCTTGTTCCTAAATGAACAGTACTTGCTCTAATTCTCTTTCTTGTTACTAAATGAACAGTACTTGCTCTAATTCTCTTTCTTGTTACTAAATGAACAGTACTTACTCTAAATATCTCTCTCTTGCTCCTATATGAACAGTACTTGCTCTAATTCTCTTTCTCTTGTTCCTAAATGAACATTACTTGCTCTAATTCTCTCTTTCTTGTTACTAAATGAACAGTACTTGCTCTAATTCTCTCTTTCTTGTTCCTAAATGAACAGTACTTGCTCTAATTCTCTCTTTCTTGTTACTAAATGAACAGTACTTGCTCTAATTCTCTCTCTCTTGTTCCTAAATGAACAGTACTTGCTCTAATTCTCTCTCTCTTGTTCCTAAATGAACATTACTTGCTCTAATTCTCTCTCTCTTGTTCCTAAATGAACAGTACTTGCTCTAATTCTCTCTCTCTTGTTCCTAAATGAACAGTACTTGCTCTAATTCTCTCTCTCTTGTTCCTAAATGAACAGTACTTGCTCTAATTCTCTCTCTCTTGTTCCTAAATGAACAGTACTTGCTCTAATTCTCTCTCTCTTGTTCCTAAATGAACAGTACTTGCTCTAATTCTCTCTCTCTTGTTCCTAAATGAACAGTACTTGCTCTAATTCTCTCTCTCTTGTTCCTAAATGAACAGTACTTGCTCTAATTCTCTCTCTCTTGTTCCTAAATGAACAGTACTTGCTCTAATTCTCTCTCTCTTGTTCCTAAATGAACAGTACTTGCTGTAATTCTCTCTCTCTTGTTCCTAAATGAACAGTACTTGCTCTAATTCTCTCTATCTTGTTCCTATATAAATAGTACTTGCTGTAATTCTCTCTCTCTTGTTACTAAATGAACAGTACTTGCTCTAATTCTCTCTATCTTGTTCCTATATAAATAGTACTTGCTCTAATTCTCTCTCTCTTGTTACTAAATGAACAGTACTTGCTCTAATTCTCTCTATCTTGTTCCTATATAAATAGTACTTGCTGTAATTCTCTCTCTCTTGTTCCTAAATGAACAGTACTTGCTCTAGTTCTCTCTCTCTTGTTCCTATACGAACAGTACTTGCTCTAATTCTCTCTCTCTTGTTCCTAAATGAACAGTACTTGCTCTAATTCTCTCTCTCTTGTTCCTAAATGAACAGTACTTGCTCTAATTCTCTCTCTCTTGTTAGTAAATGAACAGTACTTGCTCTAATTCTCTCTCTCTTGTTCCTAAATGAACAGTACTTGCTCTAATTCTCTCTCTCTTGTTACTAAATGAACAGTACTTCCTCTAAGTCATTCATTCATTCATTCTCTCTCTCTCTCTCTCTCTCTCTCACTCTTTCTCTCTCTCATTCTTAAATCATACAAAGATAGTTATCACAGCTCTGCAATTATCCAGTGTAGTATGATACACAAATGTGTGTCAGAGTGACATCAATCTTCAAACTAATAAAGATATAAATCTTTCTTTCAACACACCGGCCGTATCTCACCGAGGCGGGGTGGCCCAAAAGGGAAAACGAAAGTTTCTCCTTTTACATGTAGTAATATATACAGGAGAAGGGGTTACTAGCACCTTGCTCCTGGCATTTTAGTCGCCTCTTACAACACACATGGCTTACGGAGGAAGAATTCTGATCCACTTCCCCATGGAGGTAAGAGGAAATAGACAAGAACAAGAACTAGAAAGAAAACAGAAGAAAATCCAGAGGGGTATGTATATATAAATGCTTGTGCATGTATGTGTAGTGTGACCTAAGTGTAAGTAGAAGTAGCAAGACGTACCTGAAATCTTGCATGTTTATGAAACGGAAAAAAGGACACCAGCAATCCTACCATCATGTAAAACAATTATAGGATTTTGTTTTACACTCACTTGGCAGGACGGTAGTACCTCCCTGGGCGGTTGCTGTCTACCAACCTACTACCTTGGAAAGATATAAATACAAAATATTAAATTTAGGTATGGGGTAGAGTTTAAAATGCAGTGTTAGTGTGCATCAGAAGTTTGTAAATACAGGAGAGGGGTGCAGGAGGGTGGGTTCAGGAGGGAAGAGGAGTAATTAGGGGAATGATGATGTAAAGGGTGTAGTAAGAGACAAAAACTAAGTATGTGAGAGGTTTCTACAAAGTAGAAATTATATAAGGAGGATGGGGTATATGGCAAGTAAAAGAGAGGTTAAGAAAGTATTGAAGGAGTGTAAAAGAAGAGCAAATGAGAGAATGGGTGAAATTCCATCAACAAACTTTGCTGAAAAAAGTAAAAGTTTTAGAGTGAGATTAATAAACTGAGAAAGCCCAAGGAATGAATGGATCTGATAGTTACAAACAGAAGAGGAAAGTTATTAGATGGGGAGGTGGAGGTATCAGGAAGATAGAGGGAATATTTTGAGGAAAAGATAAATGTTGATGAAGAAGGACATACTGATTTCATCCATTGGTCAGGAAGGTATAACATCTTCTAGGAGTGAGGAAGAGCCAGATATGAGTGTGGGGAAGGTGTATGAGGCTGTTGGGAGAATTTCTTTACACCTGTTATCCATGTTCACTCATCAGTAAAATGGGTACCTGGGTGCTAGTCAACTGGTGTGGGTTGCATCCTGGGACATTGACCTAATTTGCCCAAAATGCTCAGCATAACAAGGGGCTTTCTATATAGTACTATCATAGATGTCAGCTAGGACTGTATACCACGTACAAGTACTTGTAGTAAATAAAGAAATTTATTATTATTATGGATAGTTTCTTCGTCATGGTCAGTTTTTTGCTGATGACTCAGTGCTTCTGAGAGATTCTGAAGAGAAGTTGCAAAAGTTGGAGGGCAAATTTCAGAAGACAATACAATTCGTTATAGGTAGTAGGTTCGTAGACAGCAACCATCCAGGGAGGTACTACCGTCCTGCCAAGTGAGTGTAAAACGAAAGCCTGTGATTGTTTTACATGATGGTAGGATTGCTGATGTCTTTTGTCTGTCTCATAAATATGCAAGATTACAGGCATGTCTTGCTACTTCTACTTACACTTAGGTCACACTACACATACATGTACACATTTATTTATACACACTCATCTGAGTTTTCTTTGATTTTATCTTAATAGTTCTTGGTCTTATTACTTTTCCTTTTATATCCATGGGGAAGTGGAATAAGAATCTTTCCTCTGTAAGCCATGCGTGTTGTAAAAGTCAACTAAAATGCCGGGAACAATGGGCTAGTAACCCCTTTTCCTGTAAAGATTACTAAAAAGAATAAGAAGAAGAAAATTGTTTTCTTTCTTTTTTGGGTCACCCTGCCTCGGTGGGAGACGGCCGACTTGTTGAAAAAAAAAAAAAAAAAAAAAATACAATTCGTAGTTTGGAAATTAGGTGGTGGTGTGGGATTACCAAAATTATTATCCAGAGGGCTGACGAGGGGTTGTTGAGGTGGTTCAGACATGAAGAAAGGATGGAACAAAACAGAATGACTTTAAGTGTGTATAAATCTGTAGTGGAGGGAAGGCGGGGTAGGGGGTCGGCCTAGGAAAGGTTGGAGGGACGAGGTAAAGGAGGTTTTGTGTGCAAGAGGCTTGGACTTCCAGCAAGTATGCATGAGCAAAGAGTGAATGGAGACAAGTGGTTTTCAATACTTGACGTGCTATTGGAGTGTGAGCAAAACAACATTTATGAAGGGATTCAGGGAAACCAGCAGGCCGGACTTAAGTCTTGGTGATGAGAAGTATAGTGTCTGCACTCTGAAGGAGGGGTGTTAATGTTGTATTTTATAACTGTGGTGTAAGCATGCCTCTGGAAGACAGTGATGGAGTGAATGATGACAAAAGTTTTTCTTTTTTGGGCCACCCTGCCTTGGTGGGAATCGGCCGATGTGTTAATAAATAAATAAATACTACACTGCTGCTACTACTACTACTAATGGTACACAATTATCTAAGATTTTCCATGGGCAAGTGGAACAGAATTCTTCCTCTGAAAGCCATGTGTATCATAAGTGATTAAAATGCCAAGAGCAAGTGCCTAGTAACTCCTCTATAAATTACTAAATTTAAAAAGAAAAACTTTCACTTTTCTTTTCAGGTCACCCTGCCTAGGTGGCATATGGCTGGTGTATTAAAAAAAATTATCTAAGATTTCTAATAAGTACAATATAACTCCTACCTTAGATTTTGGTAGTTGGTTGACTTGTGAATCATCATGTTCTGCTGCAACATATGGCAAAATATGAGCCATTAATGTTGGAAAATTCTGTATGTAAAGTTCATTTACATCTTTTCCACAAATTCTTGCCAAGTTGTCAATGGAATTATTTTGATCAAACTCAAACAATATGGGAAGTAAGATGTTCTTGTGTTCATTCAAGAAAATTTCTGGGTCATTGCATTCAATGAGACAAGCTGGAAAATTTGCAATATCATGCTTGTGCTGGATCCACTGTGTTGCAAGATATGGAAGATGGCATTGCAGCAATTGCTTCAGTGACCATCCTCTTGATAACGACACTCTGTAATGTGACAACAAGGATTAGTACATAAATATATGAACATGTTCAATATTACACTGATCTTCATTAACACAAACATATGTTGTCCCCCCCACCCCACCCCACACACACACACACACACACACACACAAGGGAAACTGACCTGATGACACTGGAGGACAGGAGGGTCCAGAGAGACTTGATAATAACATATAAAATACTGCGCAGAATAGACAAGGTGGACAAAGACAGGATGTTCCAGAGATGGGACACAGAAACAAGGGGGTCACAATTGGAAGTTGAAGACTCAGATGTGTCAAAGGGATGTCAGGAAGTATTTCTTTAGTCATAGAGTTGTCTTGCAGTGGAAAAGCCTAGAAAGTGACATAGTGGAGGTGGGAACCATACATAGTTTTAAGATGAGGTTTGATAAAGCTCATGGAGCAAGGAGAGAGAAGACCCAGTAGCATTCAGTGAAGAAGCAGGGCCAGGAGCTATGACCCCTGCAACCACAAAAAGGTGAGTACACACACACACAAATGACCCCTCTATGACAAGGTGACAGCAGTAAGGCAAGAGAGAGAAGGATGGGTAGACTGCATTTTCTTGGACTGCAAGAACGCTTTTGGCAAAGTTCCTCGCAAGAGATTTGTGGAAAAGCTTGAGGACCAGGCAGGTTTAACAGGGAAGACACTGTAGTGAATCAGAGATTACCCAAGAGGAGGGCAACAGCAAGTCATGGTACATGACAAGGTGTCAGAGTGGATGCTGGTGATGAGCGGGGTTCCACAGGGGTCAGTCCTAAGACCGGTGCTGTTTCTGGCATATCTGAATGACATGAAGGAAGGGATGCTTGAATGTGCGTGGATGTAGTGCGTATGATAAGAAAGAAATGATTGCTAATGTTATGAATGAAAAGAAGTTGGATGTCCTAGCTCTAAGCAAAACAAAGCTGAAGGGGGTAGGGGACTGTCAGTGGGAAGAAATATATAGGATTAAGTCAGGAGTGTCTGAGATAGTTAGAGCTAAGGAAGGGGTAGCAATAATGTTAAAGGATCAGTTATGGACAGAGAAGAGGGAATATAAATGTATAAATTCAAGAATTATGTGGATTAAAATAAAAGTTGGACGTGAAAAGTGGGTCATAATAAGTGTGTATGCACCTGGAGAAGAGAGGAGTGTAGAGGAGAGAGAGAGAGATTTTGGGAGATGTTAAGTGAGTGTATAGGAACTTTTATGCCAAGTGAGAGAGCAATTGTGGTAGAGGACCTAAATGCTAAAGTAGGAGAAACATTCAAAGAGGGTGTGGTAGGTAAGTTTGGGGTGCTAGGAGCAAATGATAATGGGGGCCCTTTGATTGAACTTTGTATAGAAAGGGGTTTGGTTATGGGTAATACACATTTTAAGAAAAAGAGGATAAATAAGTATAAAAGATATGATGTAGGGAGTAATGACAGTTGTTTGTTGGACTACGCATTGGTAGATAAAAGACAGTTGAGTAGACTTCAGGATGTACATACATTGAATATGTTTATAGAGGGGCTACAGATATATCAGATCACTTTTTAGTTGTAGCCACAATAAAATTCAATTCAATTCAATTCAATTCAATTCAAAATTTATTCTCTATAAAGATTACAATGTTGAATTTACAGAATTTGGTTGTTGTGTGGTTTACATGTAGTTAAATAATGATTACAGAGTGTACCACTAGAACGCCTAGCATGGCTAGGCATTTCGGGCAGACTTAGTTTAATTCTTTATTTTAAAATATTACAAATTATGAGGTAAGTTGGTATTATGGCTAAGTGACTAAACACTAGTTTGTGAGTTTAGCAATGTGAATGCTTTTGTTTTGGCACAGTACATAGTTTCAGTATTGGAGTATCAAAGGATTCATTATTTTAAGATTGAGATTAATATTTCTGTTTATGGTCAAATGGGCGAGTGAGTGTAAGTGTGAACCACCAGGTGGTATTCGTGTAGTTAGTTGATGGGGTTTATCAGGGAGATAAGATGTTTTCTAATGGTAGTTTTGAAGGTGATGAATGTGTCTGCAGTTCTAGAGTTCTCAGGTAGGGTGTTCCAGATTTTAGGGCCTTTGACATACATTGAATTTTTGTAAAGGTTTAGTCGGACATGGGGAATGTCGTAGAGATGTTTGTGTCTGGTGTTATGCCTGTGGGTTCTGTCACAACTATCAAGAAAGTGTTTTAGGTCAAGGTTGATATTGGAGTTTAAGGTCCTGTAGATGTAGATTGCACAGTAGTAAGTGTGGATGTACTGAACAGGGAGTAAGTTTAGATCTATGAAGAGTGGGGGGGTGTGTTGCCAGGGATGGGATTTAGTGATTATTCTTACTGCAGCTTTTTGTTGGGTTATTATTGGCTTTAGGTGTGTTGCTGCAGTTGATCCCCAAGCACAAATAGCATAGGTGAGGTATGGATAAATAAGTGAGTGGTATAGTGTGAGAAGGGCATTTTGCGGCACGTAGTATCGTATCTTGGAGAGGATCCCAACTGTTTTGGATACTTTTTTGGTTATGTGTTGGATATGGGTGCTGAAATTCAGGTGGTTGTCAAGGTATAGGCCTAGGAATTTGCCCTCATTATGTCTGGTAATTAGAGTGTTGTCGATCTTAATGTTAATTTGTGCATCTCCTGCTCTGCTACCAAACATAATATAGTAGGTTTTGTCAGTGTTAAGCGTAAGTTTATTGGCTGTCATCCAAGTCGATATTTTGATCAGCTCCTCATTAACAATGATGTTGAGGGTGGCAAGATTAGGGTGAGAGATGACATAAGTCGTGTCGTCAGCAAAGAGAATGGGTTTCAGGTGTTGGGATACGTTTGGAAGATCATTGATGTATATGAGGAAGAGCAGGGGACCAAGGACACTTCCCTGCGGAACTCCAGTATCAAGTGGCCATGTTGTTGATGCTGTGTCTTTAATGGTAACATACTGATACCTATTAGTAAGGTAAGATTTGAAATAAGCAAGCGCATGGCCTCTTATACCTTAATGGTCAAGTTTGTGGAGTAGGATGTCGTGGTCTACTGTGTCAAAAGCTTTTCTTAGGTCAATAAAAATTCCTAGTGGATATTCCTTATTTTCCAATGCTGTGTAAAGCAGATCTAGCATTTTTTATGATTGCATCATTAGTGCTTTTATTTTTCCTAAATCCAAATTGGCAGGGGTTTGAGTATGTTTGTGCTGTTATAAATGAATATAGTCTCCTGTGCACGAGTTTCTCAAAGATTTTGGATAGCAATGGTAAGTTTGATATTGGCCTATAGTTGTTTAAGTCTGTAGGGTCACCACCTTTATTATTGGTGTAACCCTTGCCATCTTGAGTAGTTTCGGGAAGGTGCTAGTTTCTAGTGACTTGTTAAAAAGTAATGAAATAGCATGCGAAAGGATATGGGCCGCTCGCTTGTACAGTAATGGTAGGACATTAGACAGATTCCCTGAGTTGTTTTTAAGTGACTTTATAATCTCGTGACTTCCGAGGGCTCAGTTGGTGCAAGATAGAAGGAATTTGGGAATTCCCATCTAGGTAGTCCCGGCATGGGCTTTTAGTATGTGGGATTTTATTGGAGAGATTAGATCCTATGGTTGAGAAGAAGTCGTTTATCTTGTTAGCTGTGTCAGTGGGGATGTAGTGGTGTTTCATTAGGTTTAGTTAGGACAATATTCTTGTTTTTTTTCAATTTGTGGGTCCCTAGAATCTGAGAGAGTGTTTTCAGGTCTTTTTTGTATCTCCTCTAGTGTCTGTGAAACTACTGGAGTAGTATAGTTTGTTTGGCTTTCTTTATTACTTTGTGAGAGCTGATGATAGTGCTTAAGATATTCTTTGTGTATTAAGCCCTGTCTATATTGCTTTTCATATTGGTGTATCTTGTCAGGGATTTCAGAATGGTGCCGTTAGCCATGGGCAACCAAGCCTTTTGTTTGTGATCTGTTTCGTTTTTATTAGGAACAATGTTTGTTGTACAGTCTAAGTAATTTGTTAAGAAAAATGTCTGTCCAGTCATCAATACCATTGGCCTTGGAGAATTCTGTAGCCATTTCAACAATCTCTAGGTCAGTTGTGAACTTCCTTATTGAGGCCTCGTCATGGAGTCTAAGTGAGACTTTGTTGTATTCAAGTGGTGGTTTATTAATGTTTGTCAGGAGGAAGGTTAGGGTAGTGGTCTTTTTAGTGCTATCTGTGATTATCCCTGATTTAAGGGGGGCTAGTATATTGGTCCATATGTGGTCTATTATGGTTGCACTTGTCTCAGTGAGCCTGGTTGGTTTAGTTATTGTTGGTATGAGAAGTGTGTTGTTCATATTGTTGATGAAATCAGTTACAGGCTGATCATCTAGTAAGACAAGGTTGATGTTGAAGTCTCCAGCTAAGAGAAGGTGGTGCTTATTCATTTGTCTGTTTGTTATTAGTGACTTTAATTTCTCACTGAAATTTGGGATGTTTGTGTGAGGTATCCGGTATATGGCACTGATTGTTATAGGTGTCTTTAAGGTTTTTTACAGTAAAATTAGCAAAAATGTATTCCCCATATTCATCACTAAAGCAAGTGGTGCTAATACAAGATAATTGGTTAGAGTAATAGATTGCAATACCACCCAACTTGGTTTGGTCTGCAGTGTGAATTGCTGTGTATCCGGGTTTAGAGGGTAGATTTCTATTGTGTCCTGCTTAAGTCAGGTCTCAGTAAGAATAATGCGGGAGAAGGGTGTCTTTAGTGATTCAAGGAGTGCCAGGAGGTCATCATAGTGTTTGCTTAAGGACCTGATGTTGTAGTTAAGTACTGATGGCTTTTAGCATTGTTTTAGGATAGTGCTGGCTTTTTGATGCTGTGTAATAAAGGCAGTTACTTTCCAATAGGTTTTGATTGGGTGTCAGATTATGGAGGTTTAGATCAAGGTCAACGTGGATCAATCATCTTTCTAGGTTTAAATTATGGTTATTTATATCCTGAGTTATGTGTTGAGTTCTAGTACTGATATCTGTAGTGGTGGGAAGCTTGGA